AGTGAGTGAGGGATTCTCTATACAAGAAAAAAGAAAAAGAAAGAGAAAAAGTTGTAGGAAGAGGAGTCCACAAATTCCAAAGCCAACCATGGAACTATAGAATCAACAATAAATATCTCTCACATTCCTCTCTCCGTGTTTGTCATTATGATATTGTGAGAAATGATCTAATTTTCTTCGGAATTAAATTTTTTTTAGGACGTGAGAGGGTTATATTGTTGTATGATGGAATTGGTTGGGAAGCACCTTGCCATGGAGTTTTCAAAGCTTAAACAAGAATTGAAGGAATGATAACACAATGTATCAGTGACACATGAAGAAGTAGAGGGAAGTAAAGAGATGGCAGAAGACGTAGGTAGTTATGCACAAGAGTTTGTTGGAGGGGGATTAATAAGAGACAATAGTGAGGAAAGTGAACAACGTAGGGAATCGATCACAGATGCAATTAAGGGTGCTCAGCTTGTACCTATTTTGATTAGCTCGATATCATGCCGATCATATCAAGACGAGTCTCGTCCCGACCCGAAAACAATTGGAATGTGACTTGTGAAATGGGATAGGAAAGGGATTTGAGATGGGATGGGACGGGACAAGGGATTACCATTGGGATGTCCCGTCTTGAATATTATATAAATATATATATTATCTTTTATTTTAAAAATATACATTAAATATATTAATTATATTAATAGAATTTATACTTATATTAATTATATCAATTATAACTTCAATATGTGCAATTCTTATTTAAAACAAAATTTTTTTATATTGATAATTTTAATGACATAGAGTAAATAAGGCGACATCTTTTTTTATAATATATTAATTATATTAATATAATTTATTCTTATATCTATCTATTTAATAATTTTTATTTATATCGTATTTCTTGTTTTATTTTTAAAAGAGTAATTAGCTTAGCACATCTTAACTAAAGTAGAAGAATAATGATTTGATGTTGTACTTGACTAGTTTATTGTTGTTGCTCTTATAGCTTAGGGATCACTTGTAATTGCTATTATAATATGTAGTTGTGATTAATGTAATTCAATAATTGACTTTAAATTATAGTGATTTATATATTTGTGTTGTTTTGATTTTAAACTTAATAAATTATATGATTCAAAATGTTAACAAATGTTATTATTCAAATTTTTCTTTGACATTGTCTAATTTATAGGGACGGTAGGGCATCTTGATCTTGTCTCGATTCCTAATGAGACATAGCAGGACATGGAACAAAATTTTAATCATAATCTTTTCTTTGGGACGAGACACAGGGCAAGCATGTCCTAATGCCGTCCTGTCTCGTGAACACCCTTAAATGCAACTAGTAGTTCTATGACAGAGAGTGATGATGGCTTGAATGCCAAAAGGCCTCAAGGAATAATAAGCTTACCCTTTGTTACATACATCCCGATGGGGAAGGAATGTAAGCCAAGTGAGGCATTTGACAAGAATAGATTATTTGATCTTTGCACACAATCAAATGAGCCAAAAGATGGCAATGAGATTGTACTAGAGAGTGGTGGACATGCGTTGAATAGATCTAAGATGCAATGCTTTTCGTCCGAGACATTGGATAAGATACACTATGAGTATATAACTTTCGACATCCAAAATTCCATTATATGCAATTATTGGAGTTAATTTCATTAGTACACGTGTATCTCAGGTTGTTCAGGTTGTTGGTAGAGTTTTGTTGTTGGATCGAAATTTGAAAGCAAAATGAAGAGGGTTTTTGTCGATCACCGTGCATTTTATCTCACATCTTTATGATAAGTATGAATGTGCTGTTTATAAGTGTTGTGAATAAATTGCATAAGAATTAACTTCTTGTTTTTTTTTGGCATACATGCACGTATGATTGGGGTTATGACTTGTGGAAGGTTAAGGAGAATAATAGGGCTTGTTTAATTTTTTTTTTATTGTTTTGACAACTAAGATTTTGTAGAACATATTTTAAGAATAAAAAATTAATAAAAATAAGTTTTTTTTTTCATTTTGAGAACTGGGATTTGACAGCAACTTTGTTGTCATTTAATAACATTTAGGGCTAACTTTCAACACACATTCCATTTCTTTGTCCCAATATTCAATTGAAGAGATCTAGCTTTCTATAAAAAGAACTTTTTAAGTTATAATTAATGGCACTGATCTCACTTATAAATCATATCTTAAACAAAAAGTTGGACATTCATTTACAAAACCCACACAATTTCATACTTTAACATAACCTAGGTGTTTAAAACTCTAACTAAAGGCCAAAAGCTCACTCACACACCTAAACCACATCTAATGAATTTAAAAATGATCTGTGCAATATATTACAGCATTTATGCAACACATATACCATAAAATCAACCCTTAACCCCCTTGATCTCAAAAACAAAAAAGGGAGGTATTCTTACATTATACTCCATGTATTCCTTTACAAGCATGTAATCAATTTATCACTTGCACTAATATTTTGACTCTTCCAAAAATATATCAAATTACGAGGCATAACCACAAAGGCCCAAAATACACAAACTAACTTCAGCAAAGCAATAACAAATTTAATACTCAACAAGCTAAACTCCCAATTAGCAATTATCAATCTTAAATACATAGTCAAAATATTAGAGGCCTATAATTAGGAATAATAAACCTAGGCTTTCAGTACTTTTCCTCTATCTTGCCTCGAGCTAATGCCTATAAATTATTGAAAAAATAGGGGTAAGTATAATCACTTAGTAACTAAAGTACATCTAATCTATACATATGCAAGATAATCGGTCATAGCAATACAAGTGGCATATTAAAGCATCATATTATCATATTAACATATTATTCAGTTATCGTCACAAAACTAACAATCATGTGACTACATATAGAAAATCCCCCAACTTAGTCACAAAAATAGCAACCATGAGATGATATGATTAGAAGCTTCAAACCCTCTCAAGTTCTTTACAATGTTGTGCCCTTGCATAGCTCCAAGTTTTCCTCTTCGTTTTCTCCTTCTAACTCATTTGATTTTCCCTTTGATTCGTGTCTTATTTTTGTAGAATCAGAGCCGTGAGGCTCCTTCATGCTTTTTTGGCTCCTTATGCTGCATCATGTGACATTAAGCCATTTTTCCCTTGTTTTTCTCCTATTTTGATGCCCAAGTAACCCAATTTTACTTTGGCTCAAATTTAGGGTTGAAATAACAACTAAAAACACTTGTTAGTTCCCTTGAACCACATACCACATAAATCTTACTTAATTACCTTTAATTAGGTTAATTATTAGGGGGTTAATTTTTAAGATGTTACACAGGACTAGATATAGCATATGCTGTGGGAAGATTAAGTAGATACACAAGTACTCCAAGTAAGAATCATTGGCATGTTATGGATAGAGTACTATTATAGTACTTGAAAGGGATAATTAACTATAGTTTGACTTATAGTGGTAACCCTTTAATTCTACAAGGATATACAAATGCTAATTGGATAGTTTACTTAGCGAATTATGCTTCCACAAGTAGGTGGGTCTACACTTTAGGATCAAAGAGACAAACATGCATTGCAGACTCCACCATAGATTTGAGTCTATAGCATTGGCTATAACTAGCAAGGAAGCATATTGGCTTAGAACTTGTTACTTGAAATTCTTGTATAGCCCAAGCCAATGACAGTAATATCAATCCAATGTGATGGTTAGTCTACTCTTTTAAAGGCCTATAGCCAAGTTTATACTGAAAAGTCATGACATTGGATTAATACATAGCTATGTATGAAACATTTGATTATTAATAGTATAATTTCTATACATTATATAAGATCTGAATTAAATCTTGCAGATCCTTTGATGAAAGGATTGACAAGGGGAATGGTAATAATGTCTTTTTTAAAAAGTTTTATCCTTATAAATCAAGGAATTTTTTTATAAAACATTATGCAAGGAGTTCTAATCTCACCAAAGTCATTTCTCTAATTTCTAAGGTCACCTTAAGGTTATAAAACTAAAAAGTGTCACTTAGTGAAAAGAAATGTAATTTTAAGAGAAAACTCTACATATTAAAAGGATATTATTTTTTATAAAAAGTTATTATAAATAACCATAGGTTTAATATTAATTATTAAAGTATATTGGTTTAAGAATTAACATAGATTTATGACTTTTAAATAAAGAGTTTTAGTATTTAAAAGATAGCATTTCATTATTTATAAATACTCCTTACTATCACTCATGTCTAATATCTAACTATCGAAATTCATTGCCTTTGTCTTTAAGTGCACTAAAAATAAAGTCAAATTATTACCTCGTACAAACCATTGTTTTCTTGACTTAAATCTTAAAATTAATAATAGAAACCATACTTAAGGGCAATTGTATTTTGAAAAAAATGACCCAATTTGCAATCAGAGATTGGAATAGGTGCAGCGAATCGAGCCTTAAAAAAAGTGCTACTCAGGCTTTGAAGGCGTCGTCCACATGTTTACCCTTTATATGTGTTTCTTCTACTCTTTCGAGAAACCATTCCCACCAACATAAGGCTCCTATCAATTCTGAAGTTATAAAATTTTATAATTCCAAATTATTGATCACTTAAGTAGACATTTCTTTATTATTTAAATTCAGCCTTAGCTTCCCAAAAGAAATGTTCACACTGCATATATATAGTTAGCATGAATCTCTCATTTTTATTTATTCATTTCTGATCCCAAGTTAAAGCAAAAGGTAGAAGATAACCAGAAATATATATATATATATATATATATATCGGAGCTGGTATAGCCTTTTCCTTTTAGTTTTCTTAACACATGCACACACTGTACAAACAGCAATCTGTATTATTCCTCCTCTTTTCTTTCCTGCCAACACAATCTGTGCTTGCTTGCAGACGAATTATGGAACAATTCTTTTGAGAGAATCATATCTTCTGTCACATTCATCAACCGACATTTACAGACACACACTTATATAAACCTCTACCCAAACATATACACACACATGCATAAATATTAACATACATTACAACGTTGGAGATAGAAAATGATTCTGAACGACGTCGCCGACGCTGTGCGGACGGATGATCCGTACAACTCCACAGTGGCGGCGAGACTTGGCCGACGGCGGATTCCGATACATAAGACGTTATATTGGGGCCACAAAGCGTACGTGCTTTCTCCATGCTGGCCTGGAGATAATGCTGCCATGTATGGTCTGGCTTTGGTGTTTGTCTTCGCCATGGCTGTGTTAGTGGAGTGGCTTTCTTTTACGGACATGGTGAAGTTGAAGCCAGGCAAGAACGACGACGTGGTTGCCGGAGTGCTCAGGACGGCGATCTACGGCGTGCGAACTGGCCTCTCTTATATGGTCATGCTGGCCGTCATGTCGTTTAACGGTGGCGTGTTCATCGTAGCCATTGTCGGTCACGTCATCGGGTTCATAGTTTTCGGTACTCAGGCTATTCGGAAGAAGAAGGCCGGATCGGATACTGACAAGACGTCCGATTTGTAACGACTGAAGCAACTCAGATAGATCTGCAAATGGATTCCATAGTAACAATTTAATTTCCTAATTTTGTTTTTCTTTTTTTATTAGTTTTTATATAAAATAAAAGATACTATGATATCTTGAAGTTCTGACAGGGTTTGTATTTTTTTTAAATCATTTTTCAAAAAAATTTAAAAAATAAAAATGTGTCATTATGATATTCTTTCTTAAAAAATCATAAAAAAAATATAAAATTATATCATTCCGAACTTTAAAATATCAAAATGTCTTACTTTTTATATAAAAAATCAATAATCTAAAAAAGAAGAAAAATAAAATAAAAAAGTTGTAACATTATCAAAGATGTTAGATAGTAAAGAGTATTTGAAACCATAGCCCCTGGCATGTATCATTTTGTTGTTGAATTTGCCTCTAAGGAACGATTTGTTGTTTTAATTAGTTTTGCTCTGAATTGCGAGGGAGAAGACAGGGGATCAAGGCAGCCATAGCCCCCTAATTTTTTAATTTTTAACTTTTTTAATAAAATATAAGGGTTATATGTTATTAGAGGTCTCTAAGTAGACATATTATAAATGCATGGAAACACTATATAAAGCTCTCATTTTAATTCTATATGTAGTCTTTTATGTATTTATAGTTTTTATTTTCAACAAGATGATGGTATATATCTTCTTGAAAAATTTGTCATTTGATTTGTTTTTACTTTATATTTGATGGAATAAATAATGAAAATTACTGACAAATTTTGTCAAGCATTGTCATAAAAATATCAAGATACATTAAACACTACATGCTTGATGTCTATCATAAAATTATTTATTCAAAAATTAAGAAATTATGGTTAAGATGTTTTTCTAGAAAAAAGTTAATTATTTTTTTACAATAACCAAGCTATTGAATTTATGATATGAATAATTTTTACTGTGATATAATTTAATTTCATAGACATAAAGACTGGTGATACAGTTGACCATCATTACTGTTATGTTGATATTTATTTTTGGTGTAGATTAACAATTAAAAAAATTAAATAATAAATTCAGTGAACAAACAACAAAACTGCTTAAATTGATCACAAAATTAGATCCTAATAATATATTTCAGTCATTTAATGATCAAAAGGATAAATTTTTCATTAATTTAATGATAATTTATATTAAAAAAGAAATTGATAAAAAAAATTTATTATAAATATGATAATTGATAATTTTTATATCATAAAAAATCAAAAAGCAAAACTTAAAAAATAAAGTACATGTTTATTTTAGTTATGTATTTGTAAAACTAAATAATGATTATGGATGTTTAAATGTTTATGTTATATTAATAATATATATAAATTTAATTTTCCTTCTATTATAATACATGTTTTGTCATCTCACCTTCTAATTAAAATTTCTGGCTCGGCCCTTGTTCGGATGAGAATGATGATGCTGAGAACGAAGAGCTTTGCTTTGCGCTGTTTCTGTGCTGAGATTATTTTGAGTCCAAGCACAAGTAGAGCTGCTATACTCTTCCTCTGCTTTGGTACAAATATCAGATCATTACCAATCCAAACTTTCACTTAACTCGTGTTCCCTTTCTTTCTTTCTTTCTTTAAAGAAAAATAAAATTTGATTTTTGTGCCCCACATTGTTAGTGTTAGTAATTTAAAAATCAAACCAAATTCAACTGTTGACCGGTCTGGATTTTAGTTCGATTATCATATAAAAATTATTTTGAAAGTTAAGTCGGGTTGGATTGTTTTGGACTGGCGATTGAACTAGGATCCAAGATCAAGCCGGGAGCTAGACCCAATTTTCAATTCAAATTTTTTTTTTTATCAATTTTTTAGAAAATGATCAATTTTTTAATCATTTAATATTATGTTGTATCATATGGTTTGTTAAGTCATGATAAACTTAAAATATTTGATTTTATTTTTAAGTTAAGTAGAAATTTCACATTTATGTTTTATATTTAGATTATTATATACTCCCTCCGTTCAGAAATGTAAGGCATTTTTAACTAAATCTCACCCTCAATAAAGTAGTTAACTACTTTCAAACTAACCATATTTTTTCATATTTACCCATATTAAATACCTGCAATACATATAAAGTCATTCATCAATAGGGGCATTTTTAAAAAAGCAATGATTACATCTCAAAAGACTAAAAATACCTTACATTTTTGAACATCCAACTCTTTAAAAAACATATTACAATTTTTAACGGAGGAAGTACATATATAATTTTTTAATTTAATTATTATATCACCAATTTGACAATTAATCTAACCTAGTTTAACCATATGAACCACTAACCTTCTTGATCTAATATTCAATCCAGTTCTGAAAATATTAGTTCGTGTTATAAATAAGCAAATTTTAAAAGAATGTTATAAATAAGAAAATGATACATATTTCATGTGCAATCAAGAGCAGACACTGTCCAATTAAGTTGTTCAAGTGACTAAAATCACTCATATCAATTTGAGTTGGTTAATTTTTAATTTTTTTATTTTTACAAAGCAAACTTAATTATAAGAATAAACTAATTTAAAACCCTATTATACTAGGAATATTTCAAGGAAAAAATTGAATGTGAAATATAATTAAAAAAAGTAAGATAACAAATTTTTCTTAATTTGTTAAGAACTGTTAGCTATTTATTTTTTTAATATAAATATATAGATGAAACTAATTTACTATTTCCTCTATAAATTTTAAAAACCATATATGCATGCATACATGCTCGCGCGCGCGTTATAATAAAAAAATTGTACTGGAAAGGAAATGAAATACTCCTACAAGGGACATGAAAGCGAGACGTTAATTTTATTCTTGTCCGGGTCAAAAACTTTACGCTTATCGGCAAATTAAAGGCAAGAGTGAATCAATGTTACAATCACTAAAGAAAAAGTTCTGGCAAAAAAAGAAAAAGAAAAAGAAAAACACAATCACTAAAGAAAAAAGTTGGCTTTATAAGAAGCTAACTAGACTAATATAATATATAATTAAGTATTTGACCAAAAAAGCCATACCGTTAAGTAAAAACTAAGAAGAGTAAAATACACGAAATTTCACTGAAATCCGGGATGCAACAAACACGAAAAGTATGCAAGTGCATATAATATAAAACTACGCCCTCGTTTAAAAGTATAATACATTTGTAAATGAATTACACACTTTAATAAATTAGTTAAACAATTATTTTTAAAACGATATTCTATATAGGATGTCTCATATAAAAATAATAGGTTAAATGATTTATTTATTAAATATATTTAAAAAAAACTCACTAATTGCATATTAAAAATTTAAAAATATCTTATCCACTCTGTTCAAAAATACAAGATATTTTTGGAGAAGTTAAGTATTCAAAAATATAAAATATTTTTAATCTTTTGAAATATAATTATTACATTTTTTTTTCTAAAAATGCTTTCATTGATAATAACTTTATATTTATTACAAAGTGTTTACTAGGAATAAATATATAAAGATAAGCTTAGTTTTAAAATAGGTAACAACTTTATTGAGGAGTGAAATTTAATTAAAAATGCCTTACATTTTTTAACAAAAGGAGTATATGCTTTAACACTTAATTTCAGAATAATTCCTTATATGTATATTTTTTAATAAAATTCTCTTCTACTTTTGAATGGAGAGAATATATGTTTAGAATGGAAAATTTTAATTTTAATCATTCAAATGATTTAATTAAATAACTGACAATTTTTCCATCAAAATTTCCCCCCTCATAAATGTACACAAACCATTCTCACCCAGTTTCTAGCCCATCAGTCATCACCAACAACTTGCAAGAAGGACAAAACAAAAGGGCACAGTTTTAATTTTCATTCATTCTTTCTTTTTTTTAAGTTTTTACCATTTCTTGCTATGCTTACACTAAATCTCAGTTGAGTGAAGAACAAAAATTAATAAGATGCGATGGGGCAAAAATGCGACACCATCTTCACTGGACAACTTGAAAGTTTCCTGATAAACAAACATCAATGCTACAAATTCCTACACTCCTTTTCTCTAATAAAACTGTAGTGTATTTGAGTCACCTGGATTAATGCCTCCTTTGAAGAGAATTTGTGAAATGATTAAATCATAGAATGGTACATCGTCGAAGCCAAAAGGATGATAATAATCTGCTTGACCAAAAGCGAGAGAACCACCCCATTTGAGGGGCAGCAGGTGCAGCCTCATCATGTGAATCCCCTGATGAGCTCCTTCCATCAGAACCTCCATATCCTTCATCCTCCTCCTTGCTGGTTTCACTTGTCTTCTGATCTTTATCCTCTTCAGCCGTGATGACTTCTGCTATTTCTCCAGGTTTCTTGTCGAAAAGGCCTTTAAATTGCTTTCGAGCCTTCTTCTCAGCTTCCTGCACATGATGAATTGGTTTAAGAATGTGATTGGGGTACCTAAGTAAGAAGGAAAACCCTATACTAAAAGATAGTTGAGGTGGGAAGACTAACTTACTTAAATACCCATTGAACATCCCATATTATTCAACGTATAATTAAGTGCCATGGAATGCAGCTGTTGGAACGTCAGCCTTCTATGAAAGGCCAATTGATAGAAACTTGGTAGTATGAAACACTAAGTTCCATGTTAAATAGTATACGATGCTCCAAGGAATATTTAAGTTGGTTGATTCTCCCACATCCACTAGTTTTTGGAATAGAATTTCCCATCCCACTTAGGTACCCATCAAAATAATGCCTCAATCTGTGTCTAATCATTCATAGGTATATAAGAAAACTACTGCTCCCCAACATACCTGCTCCTTCTGCTTCAGTTTAAGAAGAGCTGCTGTTGCATCGGGTTCAGCTGACTTGTCAACTTTTATCATCTAAAATGTAGCAAGTGATTGTAGTAACAAACGTGATTACAGTTATCCATTGGATGATAATAATTAAGGACAATAAAATACGATGATTTTACCATGTTGAAGTCAGTCTTTGCTTCTTCAAAATCGCCGGCTGCCATGTAGGCCATTCCACGACGGTACAGACCCTTGACATGTGCAGGGTTTGCCTCCAAAACCTATGTCATTCAATGGAGAACACACGAAATGAGATAAAGTCATAATATACAACGTGAAAATAATTGCCAAGTCGTCATTGCAGAAGAGAGAGAGAGAGAGAGAGAGTATTGGAGCATGTAATGCACGTACACATATATTGTCATTACAACCAAAAATAAAAATGAAAAAGAAAATGAGAATACGCCAAGTCATACTGACTCTAAATAGAAGTTAGAAAATAAAATAAATTAAAAAAAAAAGGCCCGAGAATGTTTCAGATATCTTAAATACAGAGTTCAGTAAGACTTTCAGATCATGAAGGACAAGTTTCCATATAAATAATAAATAAATGAAGAATAAAACGTGTCCTTTAAACATGCACAGATGCAAAACAACCATCTAGAAGGACGGTGATGAGGTGCACCTAGAACATGGAAAATGGATTTGGGTAATAAAGAGATTTTTATATTCAAAATGACTGCAGCTACCCAACATAGAATAACCAGATTTAACGTGAAAAAAAAAGTCTTCCGAGATAAAAATAAAAGATTTATGATTTGTTTTGTCAATTAAACAACTTCGAAGTCAAGAAAGAATAACCAATTATTGCTATGCTGTTTATTCCAATGAAAAAAAAATGATATCTACATGAAAGCTGTGCACTAGAGACAGATTTTGGAGAAGTGAAAAAAAATTATTTTCATTCATTACATTCATATGTACAAGGTATGGGAACTTTTATAGAAAAAAAATTATTTACGATAAATGCTCACAACAAAATGTAAATATTCCCTATACTTATGGCTCATAAAAGTAAAGGATTTCCCACAAAAGCTAATGCCATCAAGCATACCTTATTGCAAAACTCAATGGACTTCCTAAATTCTCCCAATTTCAGAAAGCATGCAGCCACATTCAGATGTAACAAATTCTTCAGTCATGAGACAGAGAGAGAAGGGGGGTTAGTACCACAGTAAAATCATCCTATCTAACCTGAGATAGGAAGAGTTTTTTGTAAATAATATACTGGGGAAGAGGTATATGAACATGAAATAGATTACCCGTGTATCTGAAAATACTTTTCCTTCCTCATCATCTTGTGGGTTGACATGATTAAATTCTCGAAGTAACTGGCATCAACCAACACACAATGTTAACAAGTTGGATGTTACAGGGATATTTTAGATCTGATAATAAAAATCCTGGTTGCTTACAAATCCAAACATGAAGTGTAAAGAAAATTAGGCTATTATCTTTTTTTCCTTACTAAAATTCAGAGGTAATAATGTCCACAGGAAAAGGTTCACAAGTCACTAGAATAGTCAAAACTAGATTGTCAAAATTAAAGAGACTCTCCTGCTTTGAGATGATAGGACAGAATTTGGGGAGCAAACACTCTTCTAGCTTTGATATGTGGTCTGGCCTTAACATTCCACAAGTGGAATTAATTGCCAACAGAGGCAACAGAGGCACCATATCTAACATTTATGAGAAGGCTACTGACTTCTTCCTTCCTAATGGAGCTTGGAACAGAACCAGATTGGAATATGATGGAGACTTGACAGTATGGATATCAAGTCTCACATTGAGTCATATGAGATGCTCAATGGGATATATAAGTGGATTGGTTCTCCCACTTCAACAGCTAGCTTTTGGGGTAAGGTTCCTCATCTCACTTAGGTACTCATCAATTGGTATTAGAGCCTTGTTGTCAGCAGTTCCGGAAAGGGTTACCCACAGAGGGTTCTGACCTGAAGGAGACTGTGTTAAGTGTTGTGGAGTGCAGCCGTCGGGATGTCGACTTTCCATAGGGGGCCAATTGATGGAGACTTGGTAGTATGAGATATCAAGTCCCACATTGAGTAGTATGGGATGCTCAATGGGGTATATAAGCAAATTGGTTCTCCTACTTCAACAGCTAGCTTTAGGGGTAGGTTTCCTCATTCCACTTAGATACCCCTCAGAATATTGGTTTCCACAGCATATTGTTGAGTCCATTTTTTTGCATTCACTAAAGAAATGAGAGGAGTAATACAGTCAAATATATTTGGAAACCATCTCCGGATGAAAATTTTACTGTTAAATCTGCCTATTTTTTTCTTATCTGCAGGTAACTCTCAGAGCAGCGCAGATGTGTGGAAACATATTTGGACATCCCCAATCCCAAAGAAGATGCAAAACTTTTTTGTGGCTGACAGCTCACAACAGGCCTCATACGACAGACCTAAGATAGAAGATGGGTCTGTCTGATAATGGAACGTGTCCCCTAGCCTGCCAGAAGACAAAGATGCTATGAATTTGTTGAGAGATTGCCCTCATGACAAGGCAAGATGAATGGAGGTTGTCAAGCCTGAACTCTGGAACATCTTTGCTCAGTTATAGGGACCTTTCACAAAAGCAGCACAATGGCAAGTACTTTTTGCATACACTTGCCAGGACATTTGGGTCCAAAGATGCAAAAAAGTTTTTGGGTCTAATAATAGTGACTTAGAAGAAAGCAAAATCACGAGTTTTTTTAGATCATGATTCTTCAATTCTGGTGTCTCAGTCTCTCAGATCAGACATAGGTAGTCATTTGACAGGGAATAATTATTTACCCAAGTCTTGCAACATTCTGGAGGTTGACGGCACTATTAATTCAATGGGAGAAAGCTCATGCAGAGGAGAATCATCAGAAATGAAAAAAGAGATTGGGTTACAGGTTTCTGACGTAAGAGGAACACCCACCTATCATCGTTGAAATTAATGATATCATAACCGGTTTACAAATCCAACAGAGAAAAGGGATAAGGAAGATACTATCAATTACATCGCTAGTATCAAGGATCACCCATTCAAAGATATATTAGAAGAAGCAAAGATGATGCTCGCAAGAGATTGGTCAATTCTGTTTAGGTTCACTTATAGGGCATTCAATCACACTGCTGATACACTTGCTAAACATGCTTTGCCAATTGATTGTTTTTGTTGTATCTTTGAGTAACCCCATCTATCTCAGAAGAAATGGCAGTTGATGAGAGATCCATAATAGCATAGTACTTTTCTGTTGTAATTTCTTGTTCATTTAACACCATCAGTTTTCATACCAAAAAACCCTAATTGGTAAAACTGTAAAACTTGACAACCCAGGGATGGGAGCAGTGATGATCAAACCCCTAGGCATCAAATGCCCTGGTTATAGTTATTAATAAACCAGGGTAGGTGCCGTGGGCTTTATCAGGCCACCTGCTAACCTAAATAGATTCATTCACCACAATATTTATATTTCTCTTTTTAGATATAACAGAATATAGCAGCACCACTAGCTGCTCTATTTAAAAAAAAAAAAAAATTGACAGGCACCAACCCAGGAAATTTCTTCGGGGAAGTCATCAACAAAAATTGTAATGCTGAAATTATACTTCACATCTTAGCTCAAGAAGGAAAGATAAATACCTTTTCATACTTTGCCTTGGCCAGTTCATATTTTCCTTCTTTGAACAGCCTGTTACCCTGGAAGAGAATAACATCAAGAGAGTGATGTAAAAGGATGTGGCAACATTCCATTACAGCAAACAACCCGTTTGGTGAAAAAAATGCTTAAAGTTCCTTCAAAAGGAGGAACTCATAATTCAAGCCCCCTCTATCCAAAATAAAATCCCTGTGATTACTCAAAGTTCACAAGAAACATAGTCACAAGCATGTCCATTAACCATTTCGTGTACCATTTTTGACATTGTTAATAGTAGGTTGATGACCAGATGCAGAATTTTTTTACAGGTTATTTTGCATACCGTGTTCCTGATCTTCTCAGCATCATCCATTATACTTTTGAAGTCAAATCCAGTCCAGTCCTGCAAAATAGCATGAACATCATTAAAAAAAAAAAAAATAGGGGAAATTCATTAAATTTTCTGTAAGCTGATTATGAGTTTTAGATGACCATATTTGAATGTGAATTCATGGTATATAATGTTCTTTTTCAGAAAATCCAAATTAGTATAGTTCAATCTTCGACCACAATGAACATAATAGGAAAGTAGTATTCAATCTAACATAATGATGGAGATCAAGATAGTGGCTAGATAATTCAAGAGAAGAAGTCCAAGCATTTCCAAGATCCATTACAGGGCATTGGGGACCCAATGACTATAGCAAGGTCTAAACATGCGGAGGTTTTGCAAGGGTTAAATTGGCAAATCCAAGAGGAGGCTATCCAAGAAAGACCATTAATTATCTAAATATCCAAATGAAGAGAGTGAGCTCGGTGGCATGGAGGGAGTCCAAGATCATGAAGGAACAGGGCTTGAGAAGCAAAAGCCACGAACACAGCATGAAGAACATCAAAATGGCAAGCTAGAAGTGTTAACGGGCTCAAGGGCATGATTAATTATGAAATTAGATCCCATTTATTTCTTTTAATTTGTTTTAAGTTGTAATGGGCTGACTTTAATTAATTTGAAGCAAAGCCCAATTAGTTCCATTAATTTTAATTAGGCGTGTGATAAAACCCTCTATACTAATAAGCTTGAAACAAGCAAAAGACCCAGCAAATACAGTAAAAATGACTGCAAATACTATTACTGAATAATAAAGAAGAAAGATTACAAAGAAGATAAGAATTCAAGTTAACCCCAACTCCCTCATACACCCAGAATAATAAAGTTAGAGTACAAGCATCAGTACGAAATACACTCCACAGAACAATAATCTAGAATATAAGCCACTTACTAACACGCACTAAAACATAAAGAGAAAATGATGAAGCAAGAAGATCTTCCTCCACCCCAATACACTAGACTTTTGAGAGGCTAGTACTCTCCCAAACTCATTTCACTTTCCAAAATGATTCTACACCCTCTCTTGGCTGAATTGGAGAACTTAAAACCCGAAAAGTTACCAAGTCACTGCCCCTACCCTTAGCGGCCCCTACTCCCTTCTCCTATGTCACTTTTTTTCCCTTTTGACTAGGACCCATGGTGTAATCTTTTGACCCAATAGTTTTTGTTTTGTCCTCTTCTATCACGTTCTTTGAAATCTGCTCCTATAGGTCTTAGCAACTTAGCAGCTCTATCAGCGTGCTTTGATATCTTAAAGCCCAAGTCTTTAATTAGTCTTATGTTATTATTATTTTTTGGTTACTTCTTATGTTATTTTAAGAGGCATGATTTTCATTAATTGGTGCTATTAGGCACCACCTAGTGGACTTTGGGCCTGAGCGTTTAAAGCTAGGATTTCAAATATTCCTACTTAGTTTAGAATTCTACAAAGGTTAGGTTTTTGATATGTCTAAAAAGACTCATTCATGTATACCACAGTTCAGAGCATATTGAACATGAATTTGATTTCTTTCACAAGTGTATTTACTTGTGTCCCTTGTTTTTTGATTGAATACAAGATTAGACTTATCAAAGGGAATGATCATCCTTCATTCCTTTGTGGGTTCTTTATAAGTCAAGGTTCTTGATTTGTATTCTTGAAGTTCTGACCTTTTTTCTTGTCATCTTGCTTGTTTTCTGACTTGTTTGGGGACGTGATTCAACTGATTCAAAGACTCATAGAGCAATTCATCTAGTGGGCACATGTCACATAAAATTCACCTTGTTTGATAATATATTTGGCATGTGAACTGAACCAAACAAGTACAACACAAAAATAATTTGCAAATAACAAAATATGTTTATTTGATGGAAAAAATGTTTGCCAGTAACGTATGGGCATAACCGTTGTTGAATGATAGTGATTTTTACCTCACATCTAAAACATGATGTAACTATAAATACCACATGAAAATATGAACTAACAGTGGTAAGTAATTTTAACTGAATTAACTAAAGGCAGTCTTGACAAAGATTTATGTGAAAGAATTGGAAGAATACCTTTGGCATTTCAAAACCAAGAAGCTCAATTTCCCATTGAATATCAGCACCTTCAGGAACATTTGCTGGCCTGATCATAAAGGAAAGTCATTTATGTACATTACACAGTACAGAAAGAGACAATGATAGCAAATCGTTTGATAGAAAATATTCAATTAATGGTTTGCTGAAGCAAAATGCTTTAAAAAGTCTCACTTGTGTACATTAAGAGGTAGTTGAATTATTTTCACTGACCTCGGAAACTTATCATAAGCAAAGTCTGGGGGGGAAGTGACGAGAGCTACCTCTCCAGGCAGCATCAGACGTACACACATTTCAAATCCCTCTGGCACCTAACAAAAATATATAACGTTTCAGAGCAATGACATGTATGGAGCATTCATCTCTTTGCAAATGTGAGTTGTCCATTAATAGGATAGATAATTCTATTTTTTTTTTAATAAAAGGAAAACACCCAATACTAATCTCAGTTTATTTGTGCTTTTGAAAACTCACAAGCCCTTCTCCAGAACAGAATTCCAGTGGTTGACCATCATTATCAACTCTTGAGTCATAGAATACCCTCTTTTCTTCATGAAGAACCATACCCTTGTAATGAACACGAAGTAGGCTGTCATGAAGAGGGCAATCCATTGGAAAATCACCTATTTGTTTCAAAGAAAAAGAGAAACATCTATAAAAAGAGCATTGTAGGAGCAGAAGCACTAGCCATTTAGAATGCATGAATGCAGGCATAAAGAATCTTTATCTCTCCCCCACCTCACAATCTTCCCAGAACAAGAAGAGCAGTAAATGGTAACTCCTAAACTCTATAATTAAAAGATATTAAAAATTAGCGTAACTTGAGCATCCATGATGTTTTCCTGTAAATAATTTGTTCACCCTCTTAATTATGAAGTTCCAATAGCTCAAGTTATTGTATAAAATGGGTTAACAAATAACTCAAAATGCACAAATTACCCACCTTTCCCATCACGAATCCGACGTTTTATTAGGCGCCCATCTCCAAGCATGTCTCTAACCTGTTAATATATACCAGCAATAACTGTCACCTCCAGAAAAAGCTTCATACTACCACCCTACACACTACATATAAAATGCTTGTTGACACAAATTAATATAGTTTTTGTTTTTTGTTTTTTTTGTTTTTTGCCAGCACACAAATTAATATAGTTAACTACAGTTTTTTCATGGTTAACTTTTGCAGAAAATTCACAAATAATGGAAGTATATAAACAATTCTTCACAGATGAGTAAAAACAAGAAGGAAAAAGAAAATCTAAAAAAAACCGTAATTATTGACTGCCTGTAATGGAAATAATGAAAGCAATAGTTTAAAATTCCCAAATAATTCATAAAACTTTTAAAATCACAGTATCACACCCTAAATTTATGAAAATAGAAAAGATCCTTATTATACCAATCAGGACAACTTGAAAAGAGAGTTTATTATGACTGAGGAAAAAAGACCATAATACCAGCCATTTATCCATCTACCAAGGGACTTGATTCCGTGCCTTAAGATAAAACCTTTCAGTGTCTATGTTATGACATTAAGTTGACATGTTCAAAGAATGACAAGAGAGCCACAAGAAACTAGTTATGGGGACTAAACAATGAAAGCAAGAAAATCAAATCAATGAAAAACATAAATTTCCATAACATTAGTAAAGTACCTCTGTTTGACATAATGAGTGTAAAATGCTGAGGTCAATTTATTTGCCATCATATTAGTTCTTGCTACATTTACATGCCAGTACAACAAAAAGTTTAAGCAATAAATCATGATTTGCTCAGAGAAAGATCTTGCTCACTTGAATAAAGTGGACAAGCTCCACTTCAAACTGGACTTCTTCATAATCATCATTCAGGGGCATCAGAGGAGACTGAGTTAGATATTGACTACGAACAAAAATTACAGCCTTCTCTTCCCGTGTCATCGTTCCTATCCCCATTTCAAGACCTTTAGGTACCTGGTATTCACATCAGCAGGTCCAGAAATAGGATAATACTGTTGTTTTTTTTATAAGTCAATGGCTAAATGTAAGGCTTTAAAAAGTAGGATTTGAATATAACATATATGCTTTTGTCACGTTTTTATTATTTTATGAAATTTAAGTTTGATATTTTATAAAAGTTAATGCCTCAATGAATCCATATCCATGCCTTATGGTAAGAATTTACCTTTTGAAGTTAGTTCAACAATACCTACTAGTACATTCTTTTCTGGTCTCTTAACAATCTTGTCAGGTGAGAAAGGAGAAGGTGGGGAAGGAAGGAAAGATATTGGTAAAACAAGCTGACCACAGAACTAAAATATTTGGCTTACTAAATACCTACATATTATTACCGCAAGCCAAGACAGTCTGACACAATACTTATTAAAGAACAAAACAAGGGAAGAACCAAATTAACCTCTGATTTTCCAAATGTAAAGAAATAAGGCTCTCCCCCTGTGTGAGACACAATCAACTTCCCTGCAACTGTCTTTGCTGATATCCTGATAACAAACAAACATCTATAATCAGAAGATTCAGAAGGTCTGGCAACCTATCATACAGTCTGACATGAAATTATGAAATAGGGGAAAATGAGTTGTTTTACCAAGCTTTCACTTCATAAGGTTCTCGAGGAGATTCCCAACCCTGCCCTTCACATATTACCTGCACTCATAAAACAGAGATAACTGCGAGTTTGTGACACTTATTATGTAATTGAGAACATAGACTAAAATAATCACATCTCTACCTTGAGAAGGTAGTATGTAATTCAATACCGCCTTCACACAGTTAATGCTACAAAACATAGGCATAATGTTCTTACTAGATGCTATATATAGAGGTATGCGCTTACTCATGTGTGGTTATTTTCTTTTCTGTTAGTTGCTTAGTGCTAGCCCCTTTGTTTACTTATGACAACGGGGGATTCTTGTTGGCTGACACAATGGGAAAGGAGACTCATACAGAGAAAGTTTCCAAATCTAAGTACATGTGACTCATACAGAATCCCCAAATTTTGGCTAAATTTCCAATTAAATTCAATTTGCTAATTCCAAATTTCACAAATTTTTCCCAGTAAAATAACTCCACATTCTAGAATTATTCTCAAGTCTAAGACAATCAAGTCTACAAGCGTTCTTTTATCTATGACTTACAGTATACCACAAAATCATGTGAAAGGGGACCATTTATTAACATTTTTTCAAATATTATAACAGCAAAGAATGCACAATGCACTCAAGCCTTCTCATAGTTATTTAAACTGATCATACTAGAGCTAGTAAAATTTGCACAAATTCCAAATAGATATTTGGTGAAGAATTCAAGAAATAAGAGCAGTAATACATGTTCCCCATTTTGAAGGTTTGCTGCCTTCAACAAGAGTCAAAAGCTACCACAAACTATGTAAGTCAGTGGCAGATATGGCCTTTCCAAACTCCTGCTTTATGCTGTTTATTACTATAATGACAAATCCACAAAATGTGGGGAGGAGAGGGAAAGAAAGTCCAGGAAATAGATAATTTATTATTGACAACAATAAGTGTTATCCTGCTAGGTGGAATTGGCTATAGAGATTACACAATGCCATTGTACTCTATCAACAATCAAACCTTTAGGCACATTATTAACCAAAAGGTCTTGTTCAACAACTTCAATGAATGTTCTCTTTGGTCTTTCTCTGCTCCTCTTCATAGGCTCAAGATTATTTATTCCAACTTCTTCGCCAGCGCCTCCCATAACCTTCTTTGTATATGTTCAAATTATCTTATACAATTTTCAACCAAATTCTCCTCAAAAGATGCCACACCCACACTTTCTCGTATATACTCATTACAAATTTTATCTTTTCTTACATGCCTACACATCCATCTCAACATCTTCATCTCCACTCTAATTTTATGCTCTTGTTATCCCTTTAAACCCCAACATTCATTACTATATAACATAACTGGTTTTATAATAGTTCGATAAAACTTCCCTTTAAGTTTATTAGGTACTTTCTTATTGTAAATAATTCTTGTAGCCTTTTTTCATTTGAACCACCTAGCTTGTATCTTATGTACAATATTCCTATCAATTTCACCATCATTTTGAATAATTGTTCCTAAATATCAAAACCTTTTCACTCGTGGTATGATCTAATCCCCTAGTCTAACCATTAAATCACTACTAGATAATTTATTATGAATATAATTTTTTCCCTTTTCTCTTTGGAATCAGATGCATGCATTCTCCATTTAGGCTATCCAAGATCATATGCAGAAGTACAACATTAGTATATATTTAATACAAAAACACATTCTAACCACTTTTACCTTTTTTATAACTCCCAAGTCATCAGTAACAACCTAAAAAAGACAAAAGAAAAAAAAGAGTTAGATCATGGAGGCCAGCAACAACAAATGGTTAACCTAAAAACATATTCCAATAAAAAAATTATAAAAAAAAAACAAGAAGAAGAAGAAGAAGAAAACAAGTCTTGCTTATCAGGAAACATATAAAGAATATGAACAGTAATCTTAACATTATATAAAAGCGCAGATACTTCAAAAGCAGAGTTGTGTTACATCCAATAGCATTCATAAAATACAACTCAATACTTAAAATTGCATTTAAAACCTGCAGATTTTGTCGCAATGCAGTGTTTACATCATATTTCATTTCCATGTCGATTTTACTGCTTCTTAGGAACAAGCACTTATCAAACGTAGTTGTTGTGTTAACATAGACTAGGGAAAAAAAAAATACTGGATACTATTCATTGGTCATAACTGCAATTATTATTAATAATTCAAAATCCACCAATGAGCAAGAGCGCAGTGGAATCAACATGACATAATTAGGAAAGATGACAGGGGAAAAAGAAAAAGAACTCAAAGTTCAGATTCTTACCTTGGCTTTGAAAAAATCAATCAGCTCAATTTCAAAATGAAGTTCATCTTCCTTTGGAAACCCATCAGGAGCAGAAATAGGACAATCATCCTCACAATAATGTAACTGAGGCTTCATCTTAAACTGCAAGAAATAATAGTCTATAAAACTATAGGAAGATAACATGCTAAAACTGAATAATTCATTTTCATCGGAAGGCACAGACAGAAAAGAATATTTTCCTAATACATAAAAAAGGAGGAGGCAGGACATCAGCTTAAAATTGTTCCTGCATCCAACCAAATGTCCATCGAATACATTGTCAAAAAGAATGTATAAACTGTCTGCTATTAAACTTCCATACTTCCCTCATATTCATAAATGTATAGCAGAGACAAAAATAGCCAAAAACAAGATTGGACCAAAGAACTTAATGAACTTAAGAAAATTAACCAGTATATTTAATTCAAGAGAAAATAATCAGGTAAAGGCTACATCTCTTCTTAGTGATATTATTTTTAGTAATAAACATTACAAAAATTATAATAAGAAATGCACCTTTCTGTTGCAAAAACTAGTGAACAACTTAAATTGTCTTTGCATTTAAGTTTGCACAAAGTAGTGGTCTCCAGTATAAAGAATGATAATATGAAAACCAATGAAAATGTCCCATTTTGTTGGGATCAAGCATGAGACACAATGGCTTCAGCTTTAAGTTACCAGTACATTAGTATAGATTCACAAAGACAAGGAAGTTTAGTGACCAGCATGTTACCATTGCCACTTCACCCTTCAACATTGTTGGAATGCCTTCTAACAAGCCCAACAGCATCTTGCTTTTGCCCAATACATGTCTTGTTGGGATGCCCTTCCCTATTGCAATTAAGCAAGAGATCATCTAATTTCAAAATAATGTCAACAGAAAACAATCTAGCATTGATATTACCTAAAGCTGACTAACTATAAAGTTGAAAATGGACTGTTTCACCCTAAAATCAGTAAGTTAAATCTTAAAATCAACGGAAACCAAGAAAAGTTTTTGCAACCTCTATGAGAGTTGAAACAAGATAGAGATGGAAAATACCAGAGAAAGTCACAGTAACAGTCAATTTTCTAGGGAAAACTTAAGACAGTCAAGATTATTAATTTCATTTAGCTAATTACAAGAAATCCAAATATTCCAAGAAGATTAAAAGTCATCTCACCTCCACATTCTGATCGGGTAGATTGCACAACTACTCCATCTAAAGTTCGAATTGTACAATGATATATGATCTGAGACAAACAACATATCAATCTCTGCCATCCGTATTTCATGATGTACATTGACACAATTACATTATATCTATTGAAGAAGTCCACATCAGCGGCATAAGAAATACAGAAATAACCTGGTCACCATCTGAAGGTGTCGAGTCACCCCCTCCAGGCCTCACTAGAGCTTTCATCAAACTCCCAGGTACAATTTTCTTCTTCCTTTATTTATCCAAACGAAAAAAAAAAATATTAGTATTTCTCCAGCAATTTTAAACAACAGCAAGTAAAACTAACCACAAGAGGGAATAAGAGAAAACTACCTCTTCTCTTCCTCTGAAGGTTTTTTCTCTTTTTGAGTTACATATTCTCGTTCGGTATCATCTTCATTTACAGCCATAGTCAATTAAATTACGCTACTGTTCACTGAATTTGCTGAGAGGTTCTCTGTTCCCAAATCCCAACACGTTACAATTTGGTTAGATTTTGAATCTATAGAAGGCCCATTTTCCAGACCTTCCCCAACAGCTCACTGGTTTCAATATTTTAGTTAAAAAAATGCGGGAAATTTGGTAAAATGAAGACATTTTTCACAAGCTACTAAATAAGAAGTGAGGCAAGGTCGAATGCGCTTGGTTGATTTTACTGAAACTAAAAATTGAATCTCATAGCTTCTAAAAATCGGAATGAAAAATTCAATTTTTTTTGGGTTAGCGAAGAGGATTGCTTTTTCCCTCACCTGAAGCAATATGCAGTGGATTGAAAACAAGATCCTGACTGATGAACCAAGTCGTTGACTCTGAGAAACCGGTGAATCCCGCCAGCGGCAAAATCAAGGTGCCTTACTTTTCCAACCTTTTTACTTAACATCCCAGTGCTTTCGTCTCATTGAAATAATGAAATGTTATGGAAGTGGGAAGAACATGATTTTTATTGGAAAAATTACATTCAAATATCACTGTATAAAATTTATATTTCATAAACATCAAATAATTTTATAATAACTCTGCAGTCTCATGATATTTCTAACATATTAATTTTATAAAAAAAAGGCTAAAATATCTCTTAAGTAGTTAAAAAATAAAAAAGAAAAAAGAAATTTATACAATCGCTGGCAGTCGAACCATTGTCGACAGTGAAGTCATCGAAGCCCTGCTGCTAGTGGTGTCGCCGGTCGTCGAAATTCCAACATCAATGACATTTTATTTGAAAAATAAACTTTTTAAATAGTTCAGGGAGGATTTAGTCTCATGACCCTTGGCCACCAAACCCTTTAATAACATTTGACAAAAAATATATAAGTAATAAACCAAGCATAAAACCACTTTCATAAAATAATATAATTGTGTATTATTAATTTTTTAACAAAACTTATTATTTTACAAATATTATTTGTTAATCTGACATAGATAATTATAAATTAGGGGTTTCAAAACTTCACTCATTTTACTTATTAAACGTTCGAATGTATTGTTGTCAATCACAATTATGTTGTTGTGAAAGGTGAGTACTTGTTAGTAAATGACTAACACGTATAACTAAACCTTTTCTATCAATTTTTTTAATTTGTTAAAATCATAATAAATTCTTGTTAATTTCAAATGAATTGTTATTATTTTACAAATATCACTTGTTAATCTGACATGGACAATTATAAATTAAAATTTTTAAAACTTCACTCATTTTATATATTAAACATCTCAATATATTGTTGTCGATTATGAATAAATTGTTGTCAAAATCAAACAAATACTTGTTACTGAATGACTAACACATATTGATTCTTCCTATCAATTTTTCTAACAAGTATCCAATTGATTTTGACAATAACCTATTTGTGATTAACAATAACACATTAGGACGTTTAACAAGTGTAATATCCCAATTTAAATTTTAATAGTTAATTTGGATTAATAGAAATTTTAAAAAAATATTTAGAGAGCTCATTGAATTTGGCTATGAACTCTTCAACATCCATATTGCCTTGTCTTAAGTTATGGAACTCAGCTTCTTTTGCTGCCCTTACAGTTGGCGGGAAGTAGTGGGTAAAGAACCTCTTCTTAACTTGCTCCCAAGTCAATTCAGATCCATCATTAGTCTTAACACTTTCCCACTATTGTTTTACTGCATCTTTAAGCTTGAAAGTAGCCAATCGGACCCGTTATTCAGTAGTGCAAGTCATCACAGAGAAAATGGACTCTAATTCATCAATCCATTTCTCGCTAGCTCGGTCTACCATAAAACCCTCAAATGATGGCGGGTTCAATCTTGCAAACCTCTTGAATGCATGGTCAATGGTAACCTCTTCCACTTTCTTTTTGCCTTTATTTTTCCTTTTCCTCTGCCTCACAGAGTTACTTTGATCACTTTGTTCAAAATCCTTAAAAGACTCTTCTTCTTGTTGATTGTTGACTTCTAAATTCACTTCCCCTTGTTTCTCCTCAGGGTTACCAGTAGCGTTCACAATGACTTTGCTATTTCCCTCAGCAGCCTTCCCTAATATAACTTGGTCATAAACATCCATCCTCTTCTGGATGTCCATCAATATAGAAGTAAGGAGGGCTACATCGTTGTTATTACCAGTCATAGGAATAGCTCGAACTGGAGCTTGTGTAGAAGGTCCTGCTTGAGTCAAGACTTGAACTTGCTCAGTCGGGTTTAGTAACTCTGGCACCACCTGTCCTTGTTGGACTTGAACCGGTGCTCTTTCATCTTCTACCACCACTTGATCCTCTAGTCTTCGCGGAATTGCCAAATTATTAGCGGCAGTGTTCCTAGTTAGTACCATATTCTCCCCTCCTAAGAATGGAAGTAATACCAAAAATGAAAAACGGTTAGTGCTAGCTCACAGAGGAAAAGAATATGTGTATAATGATAATTGCCAATTCTATATGCAATTGATGTGATTGTGGGAATGGACTGGCTGTCGGCTAATGGAGTGACTTTAGACTGTAACAAGAAGACAGTCTTATTGCCAGTAGATACTACCATTTCTACAGCCCCTGAAATGACTGTGCGTACCATTATGGTAGATATAGAAATGCCTAAGTTCTTGTCTGCTATGGAAGTTAAGAAGTCAGATCAAGAAGGATGCCAAATGTTCATGGTGTTCTGTTCAGTGCAAGGAGACAAAGAACAAAAGATTGATCAGATAAAAGTAGTGAAAGAATTTCCTGAGGTTTTTGCAGAAGATGTGAATGGTTTGCCACTAGAGAGAGAAGTTGAATTCTTAATTGATTTAGCTCCAGGTACCGAACCAATTTCTAAGGCTCCGTATCGAATGGCCCCTGCAGAATTAGAAAAGTTAAAGAAGCAACTAGAAGACTTGTTAGCTAAGGGCTTTATAAGACCGAGTGTATCACCATGGGGATCACCAGTTCTCTTTGTGAAAAAGAAAGATGGGAGTATGCAATTGTGTATCGACTACCGCCAGCTTAACAAGGTGATAATCAAAAACAAATATCCGTTGCCACGGATTGATGATCTCTTAGATCAGTTGGCTGGGGTGGTGGTATTCTCAAAAATTGACTTGAGGTCTGGGTATCATCAGTTGAGGGTAAAGGTAAAGGATGTACCTAAGACAGCTTTCAAAACAAGGTATGGGCACTATGAATTCCTAGTTATGCCATTTGGGCTAACAAATGCACCGGCAATATTCATGGACTATATGAATAGAATCTTCAGGCCGTACCTAGATAAATTTGTTGTTGCCTTTATTGATGACATTCTGATCTACTCGAAGAGTGAAATAGAGCATGAAGAGCATTTGAGATTAGTGCTACAGATTTTGAAAGGGAGACAACTTTATGCCAAGTTGAGTAAATGTGAGTTTTGGCTTAATGAAGTGAAGTTTCTAGGGCATGTTATTTCTGAGGAAGGTATTGCAATTGATCCTCACAAGGTCGATGCAGTGTTGAAATGGGAACGACCGACCTCAGTATCAGAAATCAGAAGTTTCTTGGGGTTGGCCGGCTATTATAGGAGGTTTATTGAAGGGTTTTCTCAAATAGCATCAGCGTTGACTAAATTGACCAGGAAAGACAAACCTTTTTTTGTGGACAAAGAGTGTGAAGAGGCTTTTATCACCTTGAGAAAGAAGTTGACTACCGCACCCGTCTTAACTATCCCTGATCCTAAGCAATCATTTGATGTTTATACAGATGCATCGCTTAAGGGTCTTGGATGTGTTCTCATGCAAGATGGCAAAGTTGTAGCCTATGCATCGAGACAATTGAGGCCTCACGAAATGAACTACCCCACTCACGATCTAAAGCTAGCAGCTGTTGTCTTCGCTCTTAAGATCTGGAGACATTACCTCTATGGTACACGATTTGAAATGTTTAGCGATCATAAAAGTCTTAAATATTTGGTAGACCAGAAGGAGCTGAATATGAGGCAAAGAAGATGGATGGAATTCTTAAAAGACTATGAGTTTGAACTGAAGTACCATCCAGGGAAGGCCAATGTAGTGGCCGATGCCTTGAGTAGAAAGACTGTGCATGTAGCTTATATGATGATTCATGAACAAAAGTTATTGGAAGATTTCTCTAGTTTTCCATAAAATATCCCAGATTATGCTATGTTCAATTTGAACACTACGGTGCTTACAATCAAATTTTGGGATAAGTTGTGAGCAACTCAGTTTAAAGATCCATACTTGTTAGAAGTTCGAAAGAACTTAGACGAGAAGATGACTGGCACAGATTTCACTTTTGATAATAATGGTCTTGTAGTCTACAATGGGAGGGTTTGTGTTCCTGATGTGAAAGTGTTGAAGGACACAATTCTTGCTGAAGCTCAAGAAGCAAATTCACCATCCACCCCGGAGCAACCAAGATGTATCAAGACATGAAGCGGTACTGGTGGTGGCATGGTCTGAAGCGTGATGTGACGGAGTATGTGAGCAAGTGTCTAACTTGTCAGAGGGTGAAAATAGAGCATCAGAGGCCTGGCGGTTTATTGCAGCCGTTAGAAATTCCAACCTGAAAGTGGGAAAGTATTTCCATGGACTTTATTATGGGTTTGCCTTAAACACAGGCAGGGTACGATGCAATATGGGTCATTGTTGATAGATTGACAAAGTCAGCCCATTTTCTACCTATCAAAGAAGGTTATACCATGGATAAATTTGCGGAACTGTATATCCAAGAGATTGTGCGATTACATGGAGTGCCTAAGGATATGGTTTCAAATCGTGATCTAAGGTTCACCTTGAACTTTTGGAAGGCGATGAATAATGCTATGGGTACTCAATTGAAGTTCAGTACAGCATATCATCCACAGACCGATGGTCAAACTGAAAGAACGAATCAAACACTTGAAGATATGTTACGCGCATGTGTACTTGAGTGGACAGGCAGTTGGGACAAACATCTACCATTAGCAGAATTTGCCTACAACAACAGTTATCATTCAAGTATTCATATGGCTCCATATGAGGCGTTATATGATAGAAAGTGTAGATCTCCACTTTGTTGGACCGAGTTGAGTGAAAGAAGCATTATAGGTCCAGATATTGTTGACCAAACCACTCAAAAAATTGAGATAATCCGACAAAAATTGTTGACTGCCCAGAGTCGACAGAAGAGCTATGCAGATAGGCGGCGAAGGCCTTTGACTTTTGAGGTAGGCGACTATGTGTTTTTGAAAGTATCACCAATGACAAGCATTGGGAGGTCAATAGAAGCTAAGAAATTAACTCCTAGATTCATAGGTCCTTTTCAAATCCTACAAAAACTTGGGACTTTGGCCTATCGAATTGCCTTGCCACCTCATTTGTCAGGAGTTCATGATGTATTTCATGTCTCTCAATTAAAGAAATATCAACCCGATCCGTCTCATATAATAGAACCTGAAGAGGTTGAGCTAAGGGAGAACATGACCTATCGAGTGGAACCAAAAGGAATTGTGGATGTAAGGGAAAAGCAATTGA